TTTTTTTTTTTCCCTCTTCAATATCTGGGCCTTATTACACTTTCTGCCTTGGTTTGGTGTTGTCCTTCAGTGGTTTCCTGGATAATTCACTGTCCTCTTGTAGCATAATGAGCTGTGGAACTTAATTTCCTTACCATTTCACAGCAGTTTTTCAGTGGTGTTACACACCCAGGGATGTTTGTTGCCTGCACTGATTAGATGAAGAGTTTGTGGGTTCAGTGAGGAGAAGGCAATTCCACTGAGAGCACCAGGAACCCTCAGTCCAGTTTGACAAACTCCAATTAACTCAGGGAGTAACAAACCCTCCTGTCTGGGGAAGAGAGATGATGTCGCAGCAGGCGAGTTTGTTGTAAGTTGCCTCCTAAGAAAGTGTGACCCTCCAAGACTTTTCCTCCAGCTGTGGCAGATGTTTGACATCTGGGGGCTGTGGTTTGAGCTGGTGGCTTTGCCCCATTGTCCTGCAAGTCCTGCCCCTGTAAGGCCAGCCTTGTTCTAAAACACAGCCCTGGAACCAGAGTCACTCCTGGAGAATTCTGTGCCGTGGCACCACAAATCCTCCCTTTTGGCACAGGACAGGAACAAATGGCCACAGGCACTGTCCAAGTGGGGACTGCTGGGAGATTTCCTCCTGCTTCGAACTGTGGCCAGAGCTTTGTTTATCCTGAGCCATTGGGATGGCTGGGGTGCTGTTTCCTTCAGCAGGGTGAGACACCCGTGCCAGCCCCTTCGGTGCCCACCTCCAGTGCCACCCTCTGTGCCCACCCCCCTGCAGGCTCCTGGCCGTGGTTCCTGCCCTGAGCTGGCAGCAGGCTGCAGGGTGCCCTTGGCAGGATCTTTCCACGTGTCTTTTTAGCCTTTTCCGACACAAACCGAGGGAAATCTTGTGGAATCTTCTTGGAATGTTGACAGAAACTCTCCGTGAGCTGTCAGTGTGTGCTCCCAGCCCAGAGAGCCAGTGGAATCCTGGGCTGCATCCAAGGGAGGGTGAGCAGCAGATCAAAGGATCTCCACTCTTGTGAGACCCCACCTGGGTCGCTGCATCCAGCGGGGAAGCTGAGGTTTGGCGTGTGGAGGAACTTCCCTGGGGAGGCCCTGGCACAGGCTGGGCAGAGAAGCTGTGGCTGCCCCTGGATCCCTGGAAGTGTCCAAAGCCAGGTTGGAGCCACCTGGGCTAGTGGAAGGTGTCCCTGCCCATGGCAGGGGGTGGCACTGCCTGATCTGAGGTCTGTCCCAACCCAAACCATTCTGGGATTCTCTGATAATCTCTGTACATCCTCTTCTCACAAAGGTGGTTTTGCCACCTGCAGCTTCCACACCAGGGTTTTATTTACCAGGTTTTGAGGCCCTGCTCTCTCCTTTTCTCCTGTGGGTCTGTGTTCCAGAGGGCACTTCCCTTCATCATTTTATGTTTCGGCTTCAGGGCCTTTAGGAAGAAGCTGAGAGGAGTTTTTGTGGGGTTGGTGGTGGAAAACTGCAGCTTTGGAGAGGCAGGAGGTGGCTCAGAAGTGGGTTTGCCCCTCGTGCACAGGGTGTTCATCACCTGGGGAGGATTTACCTTTAGACCTGGTGCCTTCTTCAAAGGGCTCTGCAGGTCCCAGCGAGTCTATTAACTGTGTTTAGCAAGATTAAAGGTGGTTTTGTGGCGTTACTGAGTAAACAAAGTGACTCCTGTGTGATCAATTCTGTTGTTCCAATCGGGATCGATGGCTGAACGTTGCCCTGGGGGTGGGCACAGGATTTGGCTCCAGTGCTGGTGCCTGAAGGCAGGTTTGTTTCCACCACTGGTCACAACTTCACTCAAAGTCACCCCTGACTCAAAAGAATTGGCATTATCTGCTCCTCCCAGATCAGGAGTGGGGGAGCAGTGGGGAACTCCTTGAAAATCCGAAGCCTTTTCCTGGAGGAAGGATTCCCACTCCTGGAAGTCCTTCAGCAAGCACAAGTCATTGATCTCAGCTGGGTATCTTGTTTTTTTTTTTTTTTTCTCTGCTGTACAAAGGTTTCAGTCAACAGGTAGAGGATTTCAGTCACAGAAGTGTCTCAGTTCAGTTTGGGAGGGAAAAGTCTCCTGTAAAAGTCACTGAAATCAAACCCTCAGTTCTTTGTGTGCACCGAGATCGTCCCTCTGGAGACCAGTTTGGTGTTTCCTCACAATGGTTGAAAATTAGAAGGTTTTCAGAATATTTCAGGTTGTTACTCTCTTACAGAGACCCAGAATGAGCCCAACTGAGACAAATACCTTCCTCTTCAAGAACTAAAGGGGGCTCAGACTCTGCAGAATCCTCCTTTTCAGCACTGACAGTGCCGAGAGAAGAGCTGGTTCCCACCCTCACCCTCAGCACGGCTGAAAGAGCCTTTCAGTGTGCTCAGAACAGGCAGAAGCTGCTCTGAAATGTCCCCCAGTGATGCTGAGCGAGGGGGAGCTCGTTAGGGCGCTGCTTAATTGAGGCCTCCTCCTGAAAATTCCGTAAGGAAGCAGCAGCTTGGCCGGGCTGGGACAGCCCTGGGCTTGTCCTGCTGCCTCCTGGGTGACACCGGGAGCTGGGAAGGAGGTGACAGCAGATATTGCCACTGTTTATCCCAAATCCCCTCGTTTGAAATTAGTTGGGAAAGAAATTCTCTTCTCCCAAGGCTTTCCCTGGGTGTTCCCAGCTCCTTGGGGCCGGAGGGGGATGATGGGACAGGCAGCAGCTCTGGATGTGTCTTCCCTGAAATGCTTGAACTGATTCTCCCTTCCCATGAGCTCCGTGGCCATTTTTTAGTAATGCCTTAATTAGTTTAATTAGAGGAACGTACATTATCTGGGGTAGGTGTTAAAATGTCCTGTAGGTGGGATTAAACGTGGAAAAATGGTGTGTTTTGCTGTCTCTGCTCTACAGAATTCCTGAATTCTGGGTGATGTCACTTGTACTGAGGCAAAAGACCCTTTAATTAATTGATTAAGCTTTGCATGAAGTAGTTTAACCTTTTTAATTAATTGAATAAGCTTTGCATGAAGTGGTTTTTGGTGCAGCGTGTGTTTTGACTCTTTGCTCCCAGTTTAATGACTAAAAATTGGAATTTTTGGAGATCTCCAGGAAAAAAAAATGGGATAAAACCTGGAGACAGACCTGGGGAAAAAATAGGATAAAACCTGGCTTTGTTTATGTTTTCTTCCCCCCTTCCTGGGTGTGAGTAAAGCTGCAAACACTGGGAAGGCCTCTGTGGAGCAGATGGTGCTGGCGTGGATCCTCCTCAGGACGGAATTCGAGTTCCTTTCCTGAGGCAGCTCCTCCCGGCGTGTCCTGCTGCTGCCCAGCCTGCCTCGACTCCTGCTGGCATTTCCAGACCCAGCTCAAAAATAGCTGGAGTATTCCCAGGGAGATTGTGTCGGGGTAGAAGTTTGGGGATGGTTTCTCCCCGCGTCCCTCTTCTCCATCAGCCCCATTTTTCCTGGGGAACGGTGTTTTTCCTGGTGTGGTTCAGGGGAAACCTCTGGCCCAGGGATGCCCAACCCCTGTGGGTTCATCTCAGGGCTGGGAGATGTTGTGCAATATTGGGGTTTACAGTTGGATTTAGTTTTGAACTGGGCTTTGGGAAGAGCTTTTCTGGCCGTGGGAGGCCACGATTTTACGGATAAAATTCCTTTGAAGGCTCCTTGGGGAAGAGCTGAAGACTTGCAGCTCGTTGTTTTCAAACAAATTGACATACAAGTTACTCTGAAGAATCCCAACATTTCTGAGTTTCTAAAATTTCAAGGCAAAACTGTTCATTTGCCTCTGAAATGAAAAATGGTTTACCCAGTTAAAAATGTTAAAGGAAACCTTGGTGCCCTGGGTACGGAATCTGTCCAAATTAATGGCTTTATTTCCAGAAGCTGAGAGCACTTGCCGCCTCTGAAGTGAGTTCATTGCCACGCTCACCCATTAAAACACAGATTTAGCAGCATTTTGACTGATAATTTTAATTGTGATTTTATTCTCCCTGTTTCATTTTGCTTTCCCTGACACAGTGAGTGCTTCTGGTGGCATCTGGAGAACTGCTTGGCTGGTTTGAAATCAGTTTGAATCCAAACACGTATTTTTGCTTGGGTTTAAAAGTCACTTTTGACAGCGTTGCTGCACTTTTTATTCCTTCACAGCCCAGCACTGCCATCTCCTGAGGGTTTGGGATATTGGCTGTGCTGCAGCTGCTTTTCTGACATGGAGAATATTTTCAGAGTTATGTTTGCAACTGAAATGCCATGAAAACATTTTTTTTTCCTCTTACAAATTTCCAGCGTAACCTTTAAAAAAAAAAAAAATTCCATTTTAAAAATTGTGGTTTCATCCCGAATTGTTTGGGATTTTGTCCCCCCCCTGAAATTGTGAAGTAAATTGAGAAATTTGGCTTTTCACCTTGCAAGGTGTTTTGAAATTGTGCATCGGTATTTCTTTTAAAAATTATCTGATGCTTTGTTTTATCTCTACACATTGCAAATAAAAAGGATAATGAAACTACCTTAAAAAAAAAAACCCACCAAACAATTTTTAAAATTTTTAAATTAAAATTAAATTAATTTAATTGTCTGGCACATGAAAAAAAAAACAACAAACAAATATTGGGGAAAGCTGGTGGGTTTGAACCTAAACAGAAAAGGGTGGAGCATTTTGGGGTAAAACTTCTGCACATTGAATAGGTGCTGAGGGTGTTGTTTGTGGCCACCACCCCACTGAGACACAGCTTTGTACCATGAGTGGGGGCAGATGTTAAGCCCATGGTCTATATTTAGCCCCTATCCCATCTCTGGGTCGATCCTGGTGTCAGGAAATTCCTGACTGAGTGGATTTTTGGTCAGAATCTCTTCATATCCACGTTAAAGGGTAATACTTACAAATATCCTCTTGGGGGAATAGAGGGGAAAAGATACAAAATCTCCCCAAGATTTTCTGTGAAATTCATTAAATCCCAACATTTTTTAACCCGTGTTTTGTTCCCTGCCCCTCTTCTTTCCCTCTCCCTCCGTGTTTTCCCCTCCTCAGCTGCCACACTGGAAATATGGGGTCGGAAAACCCGAGCCCGCAGAACCCCGGCTGTAAGATCATGACCTTCCGTCCCAGCCTGGAGGAATTCCGGGATTTCGGCAAGTACATTGCCTACATGGAATCCCAAGGAGCTCACCGGGCAGGGCTGGCCAAGGTGAGTTGTCCCAGGTGCCTTCACGGAGCTCTGGTTGATGCAGAGAGGGGGGGGTTGGGAAGTTCTGTCGCTCAGCAGAGGTTTGATTTCCTGTTGTTTTTTTTGGGAATTGGAATCTCTGTTTCAGTTATGGAGAGAGGAGAGGCAGAGGAGTTAACAGGACTTTTGTAGAGTCATGGAATGCCCTGAGATGGAAGAGATCCCAAGGGTCATCCGCCCAACTCCAGGACACCCCAACAATCCCCCCCTGTCCCTCAGAGCGTTGTCCAAACGCTCCTGGAGCTCTGGCAGCCTTGGGGCCGTGCCCACTGCCCTGGGGAGCCTGGGCAGTGCCCACCACCCTCTGGGGGAAGAACCTTTCCCTGAGATCCATCCCAAACCCCCTGGCACAGCTCCAGCCATTCCCTCAGGCCCTTTGAGCCTTCCTGTGTTAAAAAAAACCCAAACAAACGAAACAAAAACCCCTCAGCAGTTCCCTTTGCCCGTCCTGAACACCGAGTATCAATTCTTCCCTCTTCTCCCCCCCCCCACGCTCCCAATTCCAGGTGATTCCTCCCAAGGAGTGGAAGCCCCGGAGGACCTACGATGACATCGATGACATGGTGATCCCAGCTCCCATCCAGCAGGTGGTCACTGGGCAGTCGGGGCTCTTCACCCAGTACAACATCCAGAAGAAGCCCATGACGGTGGGGGAGTATCGACGCCTGGCCAACAGCGAGAAGTACGGGGGCTGGCCAGGGGTGGCCTCAAAACTGGGCGTGGGGGGGGAGTTTTTAGGGGGAGCTTTTCTTCTGGAGGGGAAACGCAGCCTTGTTAAATGTGAGGTGTTTTGGAGGAGTTTGCTTTGTCTTGAGAGCTTGCACCCAGAGGCTCAAAAATGTTCATAAGTCAGTGGGTTTTGGTGCATCTCAGGTCTTTTTCTGGGAGTTGGTTTAGAAGAATTCCTCAAGGGTATGCCTGAGAATCTTCCTGAAAATAGTGGCATGGGACTGAAAAAGGAGCTCTTGAAGTATTAATGGTTGTTCTGGAAAATGTGTTGCATTGCTGAGGTAGAAGTACAAATATCTTGGAGTGTCTGAGCTCATATTGGTGACACGAGTGTCTTCTTGAGCTGATACTGGTGACATGGGTGTCTCCTGAGCTCACGTGGGTGACAGGAGTGTCTCCTGAGAGCCTGGGGACTCAGTTGCAGTTGCATCCTGTTTCCAGAGTCACTTTTCCAGAGCTCTGGAGTACCCTGGGTTTTAATCAACACTGACATTGTGCAATTATGGCTTTAAGGTGAAGGAGGGGAGATTTAGATTAGAGATTAGGAAGAAATTCCTCCCTGGGAGGGTGGGCAGGCCCTGGCACGGGTTGCCCAGAGAAGCTGTGGCTGTCCCATCCCTGGGAGCGTCTGAGGCCAGGTTGGAACAACCTGGGATAGTGGGAGGTTTTGTGGAAAGGTTTGAAAGGCAGTAAATCATTTGAATGCAAAATAAAATGCAGCTGCTCTGACACCCCTTGCTGCTTCCCAGGGGATTCTCTGGGGGAATAATTCCTTAGGACTCTCCCATGCCCATCTCCTCCGTGTCCCTCCCAGGTACTGCACCCCTCGACACCAGGATTTCGAGGACTTGGAGCGCAAGTACTGGAAGAATCTCACCTTTGTGTCTCCCATTTATGGGGCTGATATCAGTGGCTCCCTGTATGATGCAGTAAGTGAAATGCTCCTCTTTTATTATCTCTTCCTTCTGTAGCTTCTTTATTGCTCTTTTCTCGTTAAGGAACAGTAATTAATAATTTCTTTCATTTAGCCACCCTTAAAAAATAATACCTTTATTGTTATTTTTCCCCCCTTGTTGCAAAAGTGGGACTAAACTTTCCACCTGCTTCAGAGATTCAGGATAATAGTGGAATAATGGAAGCTGTGAAAAGCTTAGTTTTAGTAGAAAAATGTGATTCAAACATGTTCTTATGGAGTGTGCGGCCAAAAATTATATATAGCTTGGGTTTTGTTTCTTTTTTTAAGGGAATAAACCAGAGATTTCTGCTGAAGCTCCTCAGAGAGCCAAAAAAAAAAAAAAAAGGCAGGATTTCAAGGAATTGGTGCTTCATCGAAAGTACTTTTGATTCTTAGCACAATTAAATTATTTGCATTTGGATTCGGAATTATTTGCATTTGGATTTTTTTCTTTGTAAGCCGCTCCATTAGGACACAATGCACCCGCACACTGAATTATTTCACAGCTCAAATTGTTTAAGCTTTTCCTTGGTGAAATTTCATCCTCTGCTTAAAGTAATTCTGCCGTGGTCTCTTCTGCTGGGGATGATAAAGGGTGTTCTCTTCTTTCCCTGTTCAGGTAGATAATTTAAATCTCTTCTCTGTAGTTTTCTTTGGAGTGGAAAGTGGCTCTTTTTTGGAGTGCTTGAGTGTGTGAGTGTTAATGTAAAAGTGTCTTTTTATTATCAGTGTGGTTTAATATGGAATTAATTGGAATAAGCAGAGGTATCTGAGGCCTTCAGAGCCGTGGACATCACAGGTGTATCCACAGGATTTGGTGCTTGGATGAGAGTATTTCGTTCTCTTTTAATATAAGATTATAATTACACTATAAAGCAGATAGATGATGTAATATATAATATAAAGAATGTTGATTATATATAAATATAAATGACAATATAACATTATAATGTTTTTTTAATATCCACGTTTTTTTCCCTGGTGTGAAGCTGGGGGCTGTGATTCTCCCTGATAAGTTCCAAACGTTTCTCCTGAATTCCAGGACGTGGATGAATGGAATATTGGCAATCTGAACACCCTGCTGGACATGGTGGAGCACGAGTGTGGCATTATCATAGAGGGTGTGAACACCCCCTACCTCTACTTTGGGATGTGGAAGACAACTTTTGCCTGGCACACAGAGGACATGGATCTCTACAGCATCAACTACTTGCATTTTGGGGAGCCAAAATCCTGGTAAGTGAGGGCTTTTGCCCTCTGCTTGGGGACCACTGAAAAATCCTTTCCTCCAGGTCCACCAAAGACTCCATCAGACTTACTAATCTCTCCAGTCCCTTTTTTTTTCTCTCCTCTCCTCCTCTCCATTTGAAAGCAGTTGTACTTTCCATCACGCTGCCTCGCTCAGAGGGCCTAATTCCTGACTTTCAGCAGGATTAGGGAGACTTGTTGACATCATGATTAAAACCAGATTTCAACACTTGGGGATTTTTGCAAACTAATGCACAGCAGAGCAAATGGTGATGGGAGTGTGTGGATGCTTCAGATGCGCTGTCATAGTGAAAGTCTGTTGTTCTTGCACTCTGCTGTAGGCAGGAAACATCTGTTGCTTTAAAATTTCCATTATTTAAATCCATAAATATGTTTACAGCTCCAGGGACAGACTGGGTCAAAGGGTTGCTTTTCCATAGTCAATTTTTGGCAGGATTGCAAGCATTTTTCAACCCTGTTGGTGCACAGGTTGGTTGAAAATAACATTCCACAAAAAAGTGATCGATAGTTAAGGGTGAAATTAAGAACGTAGGAAGTCTGGAATAAGTTCCCAGCAGCCAATATTCCTCTTCTTTTTCAAGCAGTTTAAAAGTATAACCACAGAGACTTTGGTGTGACTAATAAATATTGACATTTGCCTGCAAATTAGAGCTTAAATGTCACAGCGGAGCTGCTGTCATTGTGCCCTGGCAGTGGCAGATGAGATCCCATCCCTCAGCCTGATGAGTCCCTGGTGACACCAGGTGTCTCTGGGAATGTTGGTGCCTGTGGGCTCATAAAAGCCCCCAAGAACCAGGAGGCTTTAATGAATGGCTCTACTGCTCTTTTCCAGCCCTGGAAAAAGGGGTGGAAGGAGGGGCTGAATCTGTGTAGCATTAATGTGAATTTTAAAACTCCTTCCAGCACGTCGGGAGACGTTTCCCAACACTCCCGATCCTTCCTCTCCCTCATTCAGGTGGATGCGCAAGGAATTTTGCAGAACCTCTTGTGATACCTCTGTTAAACAAGCCTGAGCTCAAGAAAAGGGTTTCTGGGATGTGAAATGCTCTCAGGAAAAGGTTCTGTCCCCAGAGGGGGCACTGAGCAGGCTCCTCAGGGAAGTGGTTTCAGCACCAAACCTGCCAGAGCTCCAGGAGTGTTTGGACGCTTTCAGGGACAGGGGGGGAATTGTTGGGGTGTCTGTGCAGGGCCGGGAGTTGTGCTGATGATCCTTGTGGGACCCTCCCAGCTCAGTGCGTTCCACTCTTCTCTCAGTTTTAGATCCTGTCGGTTTTTCCCAGCTCGTTCCAGCCCCTTTTTTTTTTCCTGGGTTCCCATCTCCACCAGGTGGTGCCACAGCACGCGGGAAGCTCCTCATCCCTTCGGCCGCATCACTCACCTGCAGGTTGTTTAGGAGCTCTGGGTTGGGTTGTTCCCTCCTGGCTCTCTCTGCTCCTTCCCTCGCTGTGTGTCGATGGGCTCTGACTCACCCCTCGTGCTGCCTGTTCTTTGTTCCGAGCCCGGCACGGAGCGGGGGGGAACGCTTTCCAAAAGTAGAAATAAGAGCAAATTCACCTTAAAAGAGAAGCTGGAAAAGCAGCAGGAAACCACTGGCTGTTCCACAGACCCATAGTGTGAGTAAAACTTAAAGAACAGATGCTAAATGGAGTATACACGAAGCATTTGTAGCCTAATTTAATCTGCTTTTCTTCTTGCACGTCATGCTGCTTTTGTTACTTTCTTTTTTTTTTCCCCCTGGATTTGATGGCATTTTCTGGTGTTTAGTGTTTTTGTTATGGTTTTTTTTTTTGATATTGTAGCTATGACATGTCCATATCATAAGGATATGCTATGATATCGTGAGGATGAGAAACTCTTTGCATGAAGCTGTTGCCACATCTTTACTAACCAGTGGTTTTTCATAGAATCCCAGAATGGTTTGGGTTGGAAAGGGCCTTAAGGATCGTCAAGTTCCAACCTCCTGCCATGCCCTTAAATTTGCTCTTGTTTCTGTGGGAAATAGGGATTGCACAGAGAAATAAAACAAACCTCCTGAGAGTAAAACTCAAAGCACTTTCATGTGGCATGTTTGTGGGAAGAGGTGAAAAATCAGAAAAGAATTGGAAGTTGTAGATGGAAAACTACATCTGGCAAATGCCAGATTTCAGAAGTTTTTGGGAGCTCTTATTTTTATCTAATCTACTGAGAATTTTGGGGAGAGGCTGGGGAACAGCTAAAATCCCCCTGAGAGGAGCTGAAGAGTTCAGTCACTGCTGCTTACAGTGGGAGTAGAGAACAGAAAGCATAAAATCTGCTCAGAATTTTTTACCAGGGAGCTTTTTACCAGGTGCTTAAAAATCCAAGCAGGAACTTGCTCTGCACCTGCTTTGTTTGTGGGTTTTTAAATGCACTTTCCCCCCCTGTTTAAGAAGGAGAGGAGGATTTTCATGCAGCCCTTCTGTGTTTGTGCAGTTCTCTGACAGTCACTGGTTCTCTAAACCTCCCCCAGCTGGGGGGGAAAAGGAGGATTTTGAGGACAGGCCACGTTCTGAGCAAAATGTTTTCCCGTTCAGTGGAGTTTTCTTATGTAAATGCCAGTGTGTGACACAGAACTAGATGGGCTGTGACAAGATGCCACTGCTGGTTTGGCAGGGCCTCCCTGCTGTTCCCTTAAGCATAAGGCAGGAGTTTGCCACTTGCCCAGGTCATTTCTTCCCTGTTCTTCCCTGTGACAGCTCCTGTTAATGAGTTCTCAAGTTCTTCCCTGAACAAGCATTCGAATATCCCTTTGAGCAGCTCTGGAACTTTCCAGGTACCTGAGCAGTCACTGGAAGTGTTCTGGAAGTGGTTGCAGCCACCCCAGAGCTCAGCTGGGGGAGCTGTTGGACTGCACTGCTGGAATTCCAGTGGTGCAGCCTGGCTTTTACTCGAGGATGGCTGAAATGCTCGCTGTGTTTTGCTGGCACCACCTCTGTGGAAATTTCCCAGCTTCCTCCATCCTTTTTATAGACTCTGTGACTCTGACAGTGATCATCTTGGAAGCACCTCAGGGAATAGCAGGAGTGTGGAGAGTTAGGAAGTCTACCAGTTTGGGTCTGAGCTCTAAAATAAGAGGCAGAGTTATTGTTTGGCTGTCAGAGATATTTATATAGTGGAACCAAGGACTCTGTATATTGGTAGTATTCTGCTTCAAAATTGCCTGTTAAAAACCATAACTCTCTCTTGGTGTCTCTCATAAATTATCTTGGGCTGCTCCAATCCAGGCTGTCTCCCACAGCCCAGCTCTGCAGGGTAGGGTGTGGGAGGACTGAGGAGCCACCAGCCCCATCTCCTTCTGAGGGGAAGGGCAGAAAGGAGTTGGGCTCCTTGAGGTTCCCTCCCAGGCCTCATTCAAGTGGGTTCTACAAAACATCTCTATTGTTTTGCAGAATCCCAGAATTTTTAGGGTTAGAAGGGACCTCTGGTGAAGACTCAGTGCAACCCCACCTGCCTAGAGCAGGTGGCACAGGAATGTGTCCAGGAGGATTTGGAACGTCCCCAGACAGGGAGCTGTTCCAGCGCTCTGCCACCTCCATGGACAGAAGTCCTTCCTCATGTGGAGGTGGAACTTCTTGTGGTTTAGTTTCTGGCTGTTCGTTGCTCCTTGTCCTGCCGGTGGGCACCACTGGGAAGAGTTTGGCACAATCCTATCGACACCCCTTGGAGATATTTGGGTGGATTGATAAGATCCCCTCTCAGTCTTCTCTTCTCCACAGGAACCAGGCCCAGCTCCCTCAGTCCCTCCTCACAGTTGAGATGCTGTGCAAGAGCTGAAGTAGCTTCTCAGGGAGGTCTGGGTGGTGTTTGGGACAAGGAGGAGCCACCTCAGTGGACAAAGAATCTGCCTCCTGGGTCAGGGAGGATTGTTACTGAGTATTTTGTGCCTTTCGTTTCTGTCTTTGCAGTGTTCCCTCTTATAAAACAGGTGCTTTGGTGGGGGGGCCTGTTGGGATTGGAGATAAAATGAATGTCTTGTGGCTCAACAACTCCAAGTGGCTTCTTTGTACGACCTAATGAGCATCTGCTGGGTCGTGCAGCTCCTTGATTAATGTGTGTCTCTGTCACTGCAGAGAAGTGCTGCTGCCAACACTCCTGGTGCTGTTCCTTTCCATCAGCAGAGCAGGACAGGCTGCAGCAGTCAGAGGTGCCTGCACAGGGTTGTGTCCCTGGGATGCAGCTTCGAAAATTATTCAGCAAAAGTGAAGTAGTCGAGCAGTGAAGGGTCACCCAGTGACGAGGGACAGGGAAGGGGTAATGGAAAACAGCTCTTTTCCTGCTTCTCATTAAATAATTTAGCTGTGCCCGTAGATTGCAGTGCATTTAGGTCCTGAATTCTGTTGTCTGCACCAAGCAGGAGGAGCACTGGGGTGTCTCCAGCCCTGGTTCTGCTGCAGGGACCTGCCCTGCCCCCTGGGTTGGACTCACCTCCTCCCAGAGACGATGATTCCTTCTGATGTGCTGTTCCCAGGCACATGCTCTGGTCCACACTGTGCTCACACTGTTGTTGTTTTTAACTGGAAAATCACTCTGACAGGCTGAGGAGATATTATGGAAGGTGTGGGCACTTCCCATCCAACACCCCAGGAACTGGGAGCTGTTGTGTAACTTCATGTGAAGCCCCTCAGGCAGCTGCCAGACCGAGCCTTTCACTTGCTTTTTTTTTCCCCTCAAATTACAATAAAATGTCCCTCTCCCATTAGGAATTTAATTACAACCCTTTCATAGTCTCCAACTTTTGAATAAAACCCCTGAAATATATTTCATTGTGCAGCCCCACATTAAACCTCTGGTGGTGGGGATTTTTTCGCTGTATCAATTATACGTATTATGTACAATCCCCTCGTGCCTTCCTGTGCTGAGATCTAAAATTGAGCGCATTGTCAAGTGGGAACTGATTTTTATAATGACAGAAGCAACAAAACTGAATGGCAGGCCTCATTCTTCATGGT